TTTGCAAATTTTGCTTCCCTTTTATCTCCAAAACTGGCTGAGATAGGTCCATAGTTACTATTGAAGTTGAATAGGAAGTCCTATACTGGCAATCTAAGTGTGACCTTGAAATTGACCTTTGACCTACTTTTTATCATGAACTGAACTCTGCTAATTTCTTTCTCTTTTAACTTCAAACTTGACAGAGATAGGTCCATAGTTACTCTTGAACTTGAATAGGAAGTCATATACTGGCAATTTACTGTGACCTTGAAATTGACCCTTGACCTACCTTACGAAGAACTTAAATTTGATTGTACCATATATATTTTTTGCAATAGTTAAAAAATTCTTGTTGATTGCATTTTTACAGCTTGTCAAGCACAAAACTGATGGCTGTGTCCCTTATTTTGTGTATGTGGGGGTCTATACGAATGCGTTTGCTCCAGCTGGTGGTACAATATTTGGAGGCGGTATCGCCTCTCTGATCCTCTAGTTGTATTAGTAGAAGCAGTGAGAGTTTTAGTGCATCAGATGCTAGTTATTATTGATATTTCACCAAGAGTGAAATGAGAGTTTGCTGAGATCTGCATAATGAAATATGACTAATATTATTTCCCCTTTATGCCATTTATATACCATCCTTTGAGTTTAATATTAATAACAGTATTTGATACAGACGATGAGCCCACTTAAACACGAAGTTTGTATTATCCAAATGTTGAAAAGTCTTCATAAAAGCCAAATTTTAATACAAAACATTTTTAGTTTATGTTAAGACATTTATTTTTCAGGTATTTTGAGGTATTGTGAGTCCAGACATTCACACTAAATTATAATTTATAGCAATCTTTTTATCGCCTGTATGAGTATTTATAGATATTTGGTATTTTTAAAGCTGTAGCCTTGCAGTGCAGTTGTCCAAAATCAGAGAGAGTGTTCTAGTCATATCCACAGATCCAGCTCACAACATATCAGATGCTTTTGACCAGAAATTCTCTAAGGTGCCAACAAAAGTTAAAGGATTCTCTAACCTGTTTGCTATGGTAAGTCTTTTCTCACAAAGTATTTTTCTAAAATAAGGTGTTTAATTGTCATCTTTTTTTCAATGCAAGGAGGAAAGGGGTTTGAGATGAATTAGAACTCACTTTCTTATTTGCTGTCAATGTGAATAGGAAATATCAGTAAAGAAAGTTTTTTTTTCATTGTTTGTTACTTTGTAATAGATGTTAGTGTAAATTAGACAGAATAGATGTTAATGATAATGTATACCATATTTTTATTACTCCTAAAGAAAAATGAGTTCAAGATTCAGATTTGAATTATCAGCTATGGAATCCATTGTCAGGATGACCATTCAGTTCAGACCAGGATGTTCAGCCACGGCCACTCTGTTGGAAAAAGAAGGATAATTCTAGCATTACGCGTAATCCTTTATGCTTATATAAAAGAGCAGATATTGAAGTATCTCCAGATCAACAAAAGGAGGTGAAGATATGATCTGGAAATTTCGAAACACCAAAGCCCAAAGCTAAATAAGTAGAAAATGTATTATATAGATATACATAAAAATGATATTCATTTTAAATTGCAATTTTATGAAATGAAAAAAACATTGCTCGGAGCAGAATTCTTACCCGGTCACAGTGACAAAGGTCATCATTTTCACATTCCCCAGTTGCTCTGCTGTGGTATTTGTGTCGGCAAAAAGACTGACAGGCTTCATCAGGAGACATGCCTCTGTAATACCGCAATGCCCTATAGCAATTGTTGGTGCAGCGGCACACTCCTCCAAGAACATACCCTGACATAAATTTCTTTCTGTTTCTAGTGATGCCATTGTAACAACGATCATGGCAGTCTTCATTGCTCTCTCCAGGATAGCCTAGAAATAAAAAGAAATCAAACAGATGTTGGCACTAGAAATTTGTACAGTACTTCTCATATTTGAGTCTTCCAGTTATAATATTTGTGAGTCATGAAACTATGTGTCATTGATGAGAAAAATTTCATTAAAAAAATAGAAACTAAGGGACATGGTTTCAGTCTTGGAATTTTTTTAATGTGTTGGTGGTTTTTGTGATCTTCAGCTGTAGTGTGAGAGAATTTCTTCCATTTGTTTCCTATTTGAAACTGGTTAGGGTTTTTAGGTTGGTTGCAACACGATTTTGTCTTGACCATTTCCAACACTGTATACTAAGATGATAGGATGTGAAATGTGAGAATTTTTTCAATGGTCCCTAGCCCAGTTTGATAACATGTCATGATTTCTTCTTACCTGCAGCATATCCCAGGATAGCTATCCCAAGTAACACAAAGACCAGGCTGATGTGCATCTTGGTATCACACGGTCTCAGCATATGTGGCACCAGTGTTTGTCTCTTCTTTTATACCAAGGAGCAGCCTTGAAAAAAGAAAAAAATCAAGATCAGTCACTCTTTTCATTCATTTATGATGATGATGATCATAATCAAAATGACTAGTGCCAATCTTCCTGTTATGCAGGAATAGTCCATTAATAGCTCTTAACATTAGTTTCACAGAAATCTGCCTTTTGCTCCTTGATTTATTTCATGAGAATTAAGTTATGCTGATGCCATACATCACGTGAAATTTTTTTGTCGTGTTTTTGATCATGATTATTTCCAGAAAATGACATTCAGCTACTGTAGCTATCTTGCACTTGATGTTTATTACTTACTGCTCATTATCTATTTTTAAGAAATTGGTAATGTTGAAGCTGTAATCAGCTATAATATGATGCATAATTTCATATCTGTAAATGATGAAACTAGTCTGTTTAGTTATGACATAGAAGTAATTGTGAGTAATTATGTGATTTCACTCTCAATTATCTCATATGTATATTATGTAATGTATTAATGAATCAATTTTGGTTTTGATGAGGATATGACATCATCCATTGATGAGGAAAAAATGAAACATTGAAAATAAAATGTTGAAACTAATGATAACCAACCAGTAAGGTATAAGCAATTACCCGATAGAGTTTTTTTTCAGCTTTGCCCTTTTGCACCAGGAATAATGTGCATGTTTGTAGGTGCATGTTTTTAATAATGACATTTAATAAATGATTAATTTTTACACATGTTTGGGAGGTTGCAAAAATAAAATTGTCAAATTGGAAGATGTTTACAGACTCCATTTCATTGATGATTTCATATTTTATTACTAATTTTTTTTAGGAAATTGATCCAAATGTTGGTATGGCAGATTTACCAGATGATTACTTTGAAGGACAACAAGGTAATAAATTAGCAGATAACAAACACTAAATGGACAAATATATGTCTGAGAGATCAGGAACCAACATATTAGACTGATTTCTAGCTTACAAGAGCTTTGTTTTATCCCGCTCTGTTTCGGACCCTTTAATTTGATGATACTGTATGGGTGAACAAATTAAAATTATTGATGTGAGAAAAATGGAAGTTTATCAGAATTAATACTGTTGTGGAAAAGATAAACTTTTAGGCAATTTCATACAGCCTATAAGAAAGATGTTATGGTGCAAAATATAAAATTTTAAGGTTTATTTGTTAACCTAAGTTTGAGAAAGAAAAAAAAATCTTCAAAATGCTCTGTATGATCTGTAGTGATATAGCTGAACAGTTAGTCAGTTTGATTGTGCTATCATTGCAAAACTTCAGAGAAGGAAACAATCGTCCTTTGAAAGAAGACACTCAGAATTTTGACATATGTAGAGTGGTATTAAATAATGAAGACAATTCACACCCCCATCTGTATTTCTCACAATTTTGAAATAATGATTATTTATAACCTTGTCTTATGTAGCTTCACTCAGTGAGAGGAGTTTAATTTCAGATGTGTTGGCAGTTGGCAAAGGTGTCATTCAGGAGCTGTTAGGTGCTTTTCCTGGTATAGATGAAGCCATGAGCTATGCTGAAGTTATGAGGTAAGGCTACCTTTCTGTAGTCAAGTTTTATCAATTGTCCATATTAACTATCTCAGATTTACGTGTTAAACTGATTTACTCAAACAACCCCAAAAAATAAATAGTCCCTGGCTATGACATTGGAGCTGTTACCTTATTCTGCAAAAAAAGATATATACTTAATTGTGGACATTTGGTTGCTTTTATCAGTCTTTATGTTCAAATGTTGTTGAAGTTAAGTTTAACTTATCCATGTAATATTTGCTGTGTTCAATAGATAATTTACTAAAAAGAGATTAACTTATAAAATATATATTTATACATACACTTTAGAGTTGGTATATTCTTTAAAAAGAGAAAAAGACAACTGCAGAACATACACAAACAATGATGACACTATAATGAAATGCTTTTCTTTCTGTGATTGTTTATTTATTTTTATTTATTTACTTATTTATTTGTTTCAGGTTGGTTCAAAGTATGAATTTTTCTGTGGTGATATTTGATACAGCTCCCACAGGACACACACTGCGTCTGTTATCCTTTCCCTCTATGGTGGAGAAGGGGCTGGGAAAACTTCTTAAGATAAAAAGCCAGTTTGCACCCTTTATCTCACAGGTCTGTGAAAGTCCATGCTGCATTGTATCTCTAAATTTCTACGGCTATTTTTTCATCATTAAAAGACTACAACATTCATGAAGTCATGGTCTAGAAATTTATGACAAAGAAACGAGTGTTGTTGGTTCATGGTATGAGCTTATGTGAAGAAAGTATATGTTTTGATTTACAAAGTTGAACAAGTTTGTTTTTAAATTCTGACAAATGTGATAACTTTACCCTAAAAATGTATTCAAAATAGACTTAAAAGCAGTTTTGCTTACATCCATAACTTTCCAATTACTTTGAAATATGGTCACTAATATGAACATCAACTGATTGCTCAGTATTTTGTAATGCAAATGATATGCAAAATTATGTGTACCGCATTTATTGGATCTCAGTTGCTTGTAAATTTATATGTTTTATGCTTCATAATTGCAAATTTTATGTATAAACAGATGGCAGGTGTGATGGGCATGCAGGATATGAATGCAGAACAGATGACCACAAGACTAGAAGAGACACTACCCATCATTAAACAAGTTAATGAACAGTTTAGGAATCCAGTAAGTAGATTTTGAGCAGGGTTTGCAAACTCAGCCCATGGTCACTTGTGCTACTCGTTCCACTTTCCAGTTCTGATTCTTTTTTTTTTTTTAATTCTGCTGTGAAAAACTTGTTTAACAATAGATCTAAGAATTTTGAGCACTCCAAGGTTGCAATGGTAATTGTGTATAAGGAACCATGTTCACACTAGAATTCACTTGGATTGGATATTGACTATATTTGATTTAGTCACCCGACTTCCAGAAAGTTTATGTGGGTGTAAAAAATGGATGGTTAGTGGAAGTTGAAGTTTTCTCATAAATGTAAGAATTAAGTAAATGTCACCTTGTTGACAGATTATTTGATCCATATGATCCTGGATATATTTTATATGTAACTGTATATGTTTCTTTCTTAATTTTTATTGTCTGTTTATTTATGATCGACTTTAAAAATCAAAGTTAATGCATCTAGATTTAATAAAGATGGAACTTATTATTTATAATTATATCTCATTTTTTTTCATTGTAAATTTGTTTTGCCCCTCATGTTTCCCTCTCTCATAATCAAAATACCATTCATGACAAAAATGATTTCTTTTTTTTTTTTTTTTCTTTTTTAGGACCAAACTACATTTGTGTGTGTGTGTATAGCTGAATTCCTATCACTGTATGAAACAGAGAGGCTAGTTCAAGAACTTACTAAAATGAACATTGACACTCATAACATTGTTGTCAACCAGCTAATGTTCCTCCCCAAAAATGAAAAACCTTGCAAAATGTGTGCTGCCAGACATCGGATACAATCCAAGTATCTGGATCAGGTTGGTGAAAACTGTAGTAGAAAAGACATATTTCCATGTATTTTGTTTTCACAGTCATGTTTTAACTGTTAAAACAACATGATGACCATTACTTTATAGTCGGCTAAATAATTCAATAGAATTTTTTAATGTGATGAAAGCTTGCCTTAGGTTTTATGGTTTTTAATCACTATATGATGATACTAAAGGCAATGATACATCACACATCACACTTTATACATTTTAGATTGAAGACCTGTATGAGGACTTTAATGTTACCAAACTTCCATTACTGGAACATGAAGTGAGGGGTGCTGATGATATTCGCCAGTTTTCTGAACATCTAGTGAAACCATACAGTGTATGATAAGTGTGGAGTTAAATTGTGGTAAACCTCAACTACTAGTCATGGAAGTTGCAACTTGCAATCTTAGCTGTGCTTTGGACAAGCATGATTATTACAAAAGATAATTATTTAAAATGGAGAAAATAAAACCATCTCGGTGACACACCATCATAACATGCACAAAAGAGAGCCATAAAGTGAAAAGGGAGAAATACAAACCAACTTCTGGTGATGATTTTGATGAAAATCAGTCAACTTGTGGCAATTCTGTATTAAGTGAGGTAATTTTAACTGATTTAACAATCGATGTCATAGCAACGCCTTAGGGATATTCAGGTTGGTGCACTATTTTCATGGTACAACGGCATTCTTGCTCATTTCGTCTCTAGTGTGACGGGGGCATAATGAAAATCTGACTCCCCCCATGAAATTTTGACTCCCTCTCACAAAACTTTATCAATCTTATATTATATGAGTATATAACTTTTATCTTGTAGTGTGCATAATGGAGGATACATTGGCACTTTTTGAAAATTTTCATGAGAAATTAAGAAAATCAAAAACATGTATTTTTCCACCCAGTAACTCCTATGAAAAGGCTATGGGAGTCCAAATCCTACGGGTAGTAAGATGAATGCAAAAATGATCAATTTTCACCCCCAAACTTTCAAATACTAACAAAATATATGTCACAATGCAAACCATGTGGAAAACAATGGTATGATGACTAAATGTAAAATAGGGCCTTTTCTTCATGGGAGTCCAAATCCCATAGGTATGAATATGAAGATTTTTCAAGTTTCTTTTTTTTTTCATTTTTTGCACCCAATATTTTACCACCAACTTTCAAATATTTCCAATATATTCTTCATAAAGTATACTTAAGGGAAAGATGTTGAAATATCAAATAAACAGCTCTTTCATAGGGAAGGCATTGGGTGGTAAAATACACATTTTTAATTTTCTTATTTTCTCATAAAATTTTCCCCTGCAAACTAACAAAAAGTGCCAATGTATCCGCCATTATGCATACTACAATATTAAACTCATATACTCAAATAAAATAACATTTAATCAATTTTGTGGGGGGAGTCAAAATTTCATGAGGGGGGAGTCACATTTTCATTATGAAAATTTGACTGGGGAGTCACATTTTCATTATGAAAATCTGACTGGGGAGTTACATTTTGGGGGAGTCAGATTTTCATGGTACACCGGGAAAAGATGGCTTATCTAAAACAAAATATTTTTAAAAATGCACTTATCAAGGCATATATCTCCGAAAGGAACCAATGCCTCTTTATATACCTCTTTATATGTCTTTAATTTTGTAGAATTGTGACTGAATGAATCAAAGAATTTGCAATTTAATGGTCCATATTTTCCTTTCTAGGGAAGGTAGACAGGTGGCTTTGAAGTAACTAGATATGTTCTAACTTTTAAAATGTTTGTAAGTAAATAGCAAGTTTAAGGCCATTTATGATTATGAAGTTTATGAAAAATATTGTCATCAAAGTCTGTAAAAGAAAGATTCATGTATGGGATCATTTAGTGTCAGTTGCATGCTCTGTAGATATAAAAGCAATTACAAATATGTGATGTAAAATATTTATTAAAGTACTATGTATTGTACATGTATTTGTAATAAAATACCTTTTGGATACATCCATTTCTCTGTCATCAAAGTCCTATATATATATATATATATATAATAACAGTCAATTACAATGTAAACAAGCACCGCACACATTTTACAATGTTAGACAAATGTTTGACCTCATGATGGCCAATAGTCATGTGATTGTTAATTTATATTTTATCCAATTATTAAACTCTAATTGATCAACAATCCTGCAATTGTACTCTATTTGTTTTTCACCATGACAAAATGAACTACCCCCTGTTGATAAAATGGAACTTTTAATTAACGAAAGTGAGTAAAGATATACAGCGTTCTTTTCATGTTTTTTTTATACACTTGTGCAGGTAACCTAAATTGTTGCAAACTATATATATATATATATATATATATAGGCATTGCTCAAATATATATAAAGAAAAAAAATGTAAATTGTTAATGTTTTGCTCCTAGGGCTGGTAGTGTGTTCAACATTTTATTGTTCAGTCTGATGCCCAAATGTTCCTCAAGTTGGTCCAATAATTGTAATTTAAAACTACTAGCTGTTACTGTGAACTTAAAAATCGCTAATGGGTAAAAAAGTTAAAAATAAAGATAAATAATTCAAGAAAAACAATTCAATCAGGCAGGTTTTTATTCCCCATAGCTTTATTTTCTCGTAAGTTTGAGAGTAGTAGGCTAATTAAATAATACACAGCCGGATGATGGTACTTTAACGTTAACGAGGTTAGTGCACTGTGACGCTTACAGCAGTGATGGTCAAATGTCCGGATACATAGTCCATAAATGCCCACATGCATTATATATGTATTCGAACCGGACTTCAGAGGCCTGGCAATGCACTTGAATGGAGAACGGTTCAAATCAGTGCGACCAGGGGGATTTATGTAACACAAAGACATTATAAAAACCCGAACAACGACAACAGGCCAATCCTGTTTCTTTAATGAACTGCAGTAGTTTAATTCACCTTAAACCATTGACCGAATTATTAATGAATATTTTTTGCTAGCTCACCGTGAATTGGCATTATTTGTATTGCATCAGCTCACAAGAGAGACTTAACACGTATGCTTAAAGGCAGGACAATTGACAAGGCCGACGCAGGTAAGTAATAGCACGTTATGATAAAGAACTAATATAAATTCAACTGTTAAGAAAGTCTCTTGATTGTATGAATCGATATATGCCAAGTTTTCTTATGTCAGCACACAATCTTGCTAATGTCCTTACACTAAAATATCAGATACGGAAATTTTAACTTGGGGTAACTACGGCGTACAGGTAGACCGCAGATGACAACCGAGATATCGTTGTTAAATTAAACATTAAACAGTACAAAAACACTAACCCTTAATGCGTTTTATACATGTACATGCAGGTTAAACAAGTACAAGTCTAGCGACATATATGTGTGTGTGTGTGTGTGTGTATTCATACAGTCTTTTTTGTCGCTAACTCACGCGATAAGGGTTATCTACATATTTTATAATTAGCAATGTACATACTGTACATGTATATGCATTACACAGTTTAATGGAAATTTGTCGAATGTCGGAATATACGGAGATTTTATATTAGGCCTAATTGTTTATCCTATTCCAAGTTGTCAAAACGCTTGTGATATCCAACATAGAAATGCCCATTTTCTCATTGAATAAATCGTGTATCTATCAGTTTTATTATCATTATTATTTTTATTGCTGTTGTTGTTTGTTTGTTTGTTTGTTTGTTTGTTTGTTTGTTTGTTTGTTTTGTAAGGCGTTTTCTTCTTATCTTATTTCTGAATTATAAATCATTTATAATGTCTATTTTTCAAATACCAGTAGCTGGACATTTCTCAGTGTTGGCCAAGTGCATATAACTAAAATGGAGTCGAACAGCAGCGAAGCACAGCTTATGTCAATGCAGAGCTCACCACACGATTCCACCCTCTCTTTTGGAGAAGACAGACAGGTTCATAGTCGAACACCTGAAGACTGGAGGAAAAAAGTTAAAAAGGGGATCAAGAAGAACCTCTTGTTAATTTTAACCCTAATAGCGATTGTCATAGGAGCGGTCCTAGGTTTTACAGTGCGTCTGTTACAGCCGTCAAAGGATGCCCTGATGTGGTTAGGTAATGTGAACGGGTGCTTCTTCAACAAGATTTTTGCCGTAGCAGGCAGGATAAAAAGAATATTTCATATAAGATGTCTAGGAAATGATAAAAGCAAAAGGCTGCCGAAATAATAGGAAACAATATATGTGTAAAGATAGATCTTGTGATACTAGCGTTATTATTATTATTATTATTATTATT